CTTTTCCAGAAGGCCTTTAAGATTTAGTTATAGAGTAATTGGCACCTATATTACACTGCTGTATTGTATTAATATATTATAAAACATTATTATTGTTATGGTGGTTTTATAATGTTTTAATATCTGTACACCCCCTAGCGCTCTCCTGAAATGAGGCAGAGATAAATTGAGCAAATAAATTAATGAATGAATAATTTGGGATATTATTACAGTTATCTAGTGTTTAATACATGAACATTATTTACTTATTTATAACATTTAATTAATGGATGGATTAATTGATTAAATTTTTATAGATTACCTCCATCCATACAAATGACATTTTGGGTAGAAATATGGAATAAATATACTTAAATTTTTGTATCTCTAAGATTACCAGTGTATACATGTAAATCCCCTCAAGTTTATTTTGGAGTAATTTTAGATAGGTGGGGGGGGGGAGAGAGAGAGAGATACCCTTGACAAAAGGTAGACTCTTTTAAAACTATTTCAAATGCATTTTAAACAGTTTCTTCTCTTTTATGTGGAGCTAAATTAGCCCTAGTGGTCCAAGAAATCAGAAGTAATAAAACTGCAGTAATGAAGAGAAGAGAGACAACAGTGAAAAATGTGTGGAAAAACCCAGTTCTGAATTAAGATGGGCTAGATAGTGATAGAGCTTTCTCTACAGCAGGGCACCACTGATGACACATTCCATGGCATATCACCTGTCAGAGAGTCCTGCCCCTTCATTGTTAGCACTGGGTAAGGCAGAATTAGTAGCTGCTGATCACATTGCTTACTGAGAAATCTGTTGTTAATCCTTAAACTGATCCTATACTGGACAATTGCTGGCCTGCTTCCAAGATGTACCTGGGTATGATGCTTTGGAACATGTGGCTTTCCAGCTTCAATTGTTCTGATTAATATGGATTATTTAGACCCCACCAAGCTCAGGCCCAGTTTGGGGACATAAAGTATTTAATTGCCTTAAAAGAGCATCTACACCAGGGCTCTAGAACTCAATCATCACAAATGCCACATTAGGAAAAGTTCATTCACTTGGAGGCCATAGCATTACATACACTGATATAAAAGTCTCTAGTCCCTAGAGTAGTCCTTGGAGAGCTATCATTAGTAGCAAGGAGGAGCTGCAGCAGTAGCAGAGAGAACAAGTGCATGGGGAAGTGCAAGTCCCAATCTTGCCCTGGCTGCAGTGGCACCTCAGGCAGGACTAGGATTGTAGCTGTCCCTTGGGCTGCCCTGCCCAAGTGCAAAGCTGCACTTTCTTCTCAGCCTGAGTAACTGATCTCGGTGTCTACGATGAACTTGGTGAATGTCCAAAATCTCCAGTCACTTGTGCTCAGCTATGGCCCTAGAGAAGATTCACAGTGCCTGGCCAAGATTGGCAAGCTGCTACTCTAATTCCAGCAGTTGCTTTCCTGCAGTGTAAATGGTGAGTGAGAAGTTTAAATAGAAAGCTTCTTGAACATGGGCAAGCCTGCACCCTCTTTTTCCTCCCCTCCTTGGTTCAATCAGCTGGTCAGTCTAATCTGTTCTTGCTTCTCTTGTTACACCAACTGAAATAGGCAGGGATGTCTATGCAAACTTCTTTCAGATTACACTTCTCCAACTGAGAGATATATCCCTTACAGGGCTTTTTCTTTCTACCAAGTATGGTTGCAGGCCATATAAAATACCTTGGATGGCTGCTTGCAACTTGCAGGCCACAAGTTTGAGTCGCCTGATCTGTGTTGAGACCTGGAGAAGGGCAGTGTGTCCCTGTTGGTTCTACAAGCACTTTACTTTTTTCCATCATTGTCCATAGAGGCTAAAGAATTCCTGCTTAGGAGAACATAAAAACATTACAGTGAACCAGATTTGTTAGAATTTATTACATTTAGAAAGGGGTATGACTTAGAAGATACATGTTCAGAAATCTTTGAAGGATTAAGATTAAGATTAAGTCGAATCAATGTTGGTCATGGTAGTATAGCTTCTACTTCATGAATTACAAGAATTATAATTTTTGTGTCTGTGTGTGATGGCTTTTAGCAAAAAAGCACTATCAAAATAATAAGACATAACAAAATATGAATAAGTAACTAGAATGGAATGCAGGGTATATCATTTTAAAATTATTCTCATTTGGCACAATCCCATATGTGTTCGCTCAGAAATTAATTTCCACTATATTTGATGAGTCTTGCTTTGATAGAAGTATACATAGGACTACAGTCTGAATTATAAATCTCTTAATTTTGGTATCATTTAACAAAAACATACAGTGCTAACAACTGTCCAGGTATCTTGTCGGTTTATAGATTACCTCACTCCGTATCATAAAAAGAATTGAGCCTTTTTTTCCCTCAAGATAAAAGATTGTCTTGCTGCACAATCCAATTTATTTCAGATTCTCATGTGCACGGTTCAGGAAATTCATAGTCAAGATGTTTCCTGTTTTAAACTGGCTTTGTACTTATCGTGTTACAGAATGGATTCTAGGAGACATACACGCTGGCATAAATGTAGGGATGGTGCAGGTTTTTCAAGGTAAATACGTCAATTTCTTATCTTCTCTTATTAAAAGCTTTCAAGGTGGATAATTCTCCAGTCTTTTCCACTCATGGCAGTATATCCTAGACTGGAGCCCTCTTTACTGCCCAGTAGTAAGTAGAAGCATATTGGATTGGTCTCAGGTAACAAAAACAGCCTCTGGTAGTTTAAAAAGGGAAAACCATAGGGATTTGTAAAGGGAAAGACACCCTCAAGCTAAGTTCAGCTCCTGGTGATTAAATCTGTACTAACCTATAAAACAAAGAATATTCTTTTCTTACCTCATGTAATGAAACAAGAATGAATTCAATGGATTCCAAAGTATGTTAAAATGAAATAGCATTTCAAACAAAAACAATTTTTGATTCTGAAACTTAAGATACTTTATAGATTGTCTGGAAAAAATTTATTCCTTTTAGATGCTACAACATTTGCTCATACATTCTTAAAGAACATCTGAATGTAGCCGATGATGCACTAGAATCTATTACCACAGAAAAAGTGGCCTTCTTTGTGTGCTGTACTCCTGATATAGCAACAGGAAGAATATAGCTCGGGACCCACTAATTGTACTTTTCATCTCACAGTCATCAATGTTTCTGGCAAGCTCACCAGAAGGATTAGTGGTTCTTAGTTGTAGTTCCAACAGAAATAAAAATTGCTGCCTTGCAATTAATTTGAGACAGCAATGGGCACAAAACCACCATTCCTTTGTCCCTCCTGTCTGCAACAATTATGTATATATAAAATGTTGTTTCAGGGCCATACTTCATACGTCTGACAAAGTGGACTCTGATCCATGAAAGCTGGATAATGAAATGGCAGTGTAAGAGTCCAAGGTTTTTTTGTTGCTAAAATACCATGGCTGTTTCACTGGAAATGTTTGTTTTGTGTGTTTGCAGCAACTGAGATCATTCTAGTCTTGACGCATGTCTAGTCGTCGTAGTAGTAGTAACATAAATGTTTATTATGTTTAACATGTTTACATTCTACAGGCAAGCCTCAAGGGTTTGCCTATTTTATTGTCACTCAGTGATGTATACAAGACCACCTAATGGATTTCTTATTTATTTATTTATTTAATTATTGAGAAGAAGGAAAGAAACACATAGCAAAAAGTGAAAGAAATACAAAGGAAAAATATGTAAATATATCATTATATCAGCAAACAATTACAATTTTATATATACTTATCTAATGCAAATATTATTCAAGTACATATTTATTTCTAATACATGAAGATGATAATCATTTTTTTAACCTACTGTGTTTTGTATAAATGAGTCCCATATTTCATTATACTTGTCCATATAAAGCCTACATCTATAGACAGTCTCTGGTAAGTAGCAAGTGCAATCAGCTCTTCAGTTCATTGAATAAATGGGGCCATACATTTACCTTTCCAATGTTGCAATATCATGATTAAGTGAAGATCTGAGTCTAAATCTCATCTGTGTCCAAAATGCTCCTTCAGCTAGCCAATCATTCTAAGCTATTCCAGGCTTGCAAATAATCAAGGAAAGATTGATTAAAAAGCTCACTCCAATCCACCCCCCAAATTTCCCACCTCTGGTATTCATCACTCATTTGCCACAGTTCCCCACCCCCACCCCACTGCTGGAAGAATACAAGAAGAGACAATAGCTGGGCTGCTTAGACTCCCCTTTATGTGTGACTAACAAGATAGTTGGAGGGAAAGAGATAGGCAACATCCAAAGAGATTTGAAAGGGAATAAAGCAGGCTTTTTACTTAGATACATCATGCCAGTTGGTGGATGTTCTCTTTGTTTTCCCAGATTTAAGGGCAAGCTGCCTTAAGGCAGTCCTGATTGAAAGTCTTTGCAATTTAGGACTGATATGTTAACTGTTTTTTCTGAAAATGCGCTAAGTTTATTAGTATCATTATTATTTTAGAGAATTTTATGTCACTTTCAAAGAAGCTTATGGTCAAGAAATTATAAACAGAAATATAAGATTCAATTATTCAAACAAAAAAGTATACTAAATTATCCAGAGCATTAGCTACTAAACAAGCAGCATAAATACTTCAAGTATCAAATTAATCCAAATAACTCTGTCAACACATTAAAGTGCAGAGAGAAACAAAAATGTATTGTGGAACCAATTGATGGAGAATGAAGATAGGGCCAAATGAAGATTGATTGACTGATCATGTGCCATCAAGTTGGTGTGGACTCTTAACGACCACAATCTGTCCTCAACCTGGTCCTTCAGGTCTTCCAATAGTGCAATCATTGTCACTGTAACTGCTGCTGGTTGTCCTCTTCTCTTTCCTTCCACCTTTCCCAGAGTTATCGATTTCTAGGGAGCAGCGTCTTAGGCCAAATGGATAACAGATTACTTATTAAAATAAGAAGCTATAATAAAAGAGGGCAGGTTGGCTTTTCCCCCACTACAAATTTGGAATGAACTTTTTGCTTTGTATCAGTTTTGAGAGTATATTTTTAAAACATACATTCCTTATAGGATTGTCAGGAATAGCCTTAACCGGATTACCAATTCCAGTTATGAATAATTTTTATTCTGCATTTTGCTGCTCTTTAACATATGTTATATTTGGAACTTCGCAACATATGTCTATTGGTAAGTACTATGCTACTCTGTTAATTCCATTTAAAGGTATATGGGATTATTTGTCATTAGAAGTGGTATCCTGACTCATTTAAAAACTTGTTTTTACTAATTTAGACTTTCAAACATATTGACTTTTACTTCATATTTATTTATCTCTAAGTGTTCTGTTCATACCATATCTTTATTATTTGTCATCAAATAATCCACAAAGGTAAAGAATATTGTATAAATATTGCAAAAAGCCACCGTGTCAGGATTGATTTATCTGTTCAATAGATTATTTTTTAGGACAGGATAATGATTCTTGTAATTTCCCCATGATTCTTTTCTTAGTGGTATTTTACCACTAAGTGGCACTCTGTGTGAGGAAAATAAAGTACAAAGAGCTCTTCTCTGAGGCCCAGGCACAATTGCTGGTAAAAGTGGATATCTTACCCTTTCACATTCAAAAAGTACCTCTGTTTAAGGCTTCACAGCAGAATACAGCAGTAAATCACACCTCTCTGAATACTTAACTCCTTATTTATCACTTGATTTGGCAAAAGATTCTCAGACATGACTTGGCTAGATTAGCATCAGTTTTCTAGACAAAAATGAAGCTTTAAACACAACAGTTGATTGTCTATTGCAGTACAAAGAAGTCAGAGCCTTTGTATATATCTCTGCTGCAAATTCTAGGCTTTTCCCTCTGTTCTTTCTGAGTTAATGAATACTCGATTTAGTGGCCTTGAGTAGCTGAGAAATGTTTATTTAACGATTCTCTAGCCTAGGAAATGACTGGTTCCTGCTTTGCCAACTTGCCCTTATGCCCTGGAACAGAAGAGAGAGAGAGAGAGGGAGGGAGGGAGAGAGAGAGAGAGAAAGAGAGGGAGGGAGAGAGAGAGAGAGAGAGAGAGAGAGAATTCTCATTTCCACTCTGCTGTGCCTGTCAATAAGCCTATCAGTCTTTTTGGCACCTGTCTGAGAACCAAAAGGGATTGTTCTCCAAGCAGAATTCTGACAGAGTTTTCTTTAACAAGATTTATTGAAATGAATGGGATAAGCTTACAATATTTCTAGCAATTGAACTACTTTCAGTTTAGAACTAATTTATATCCATGTATATTTTCTCTACATTCCAAAAGGCAGGATACAAAATAATGAATGTAAGTTATGGAAGGCTTGCATAATCTTCCAATTCTGAGATTCTATAATACCAAATTTCTTGAGCCTTTGACAGCTAAATAACAGTAATTTATGAGGTACTGGTAATTGTTATAATGAATCAAATTGTAAATGATTAGTTATTTTTGATAGTTCAGTGGCAATTCAGGGGCCACTAAATAAATGCTGAAAAAGACAGAGACCACCCTATTAAACAAAAGTACCCCCCATGCATTTTTTTTCCTTTAAGAGAATGGGAATTCAGGTTTTTCAGCAAATAAAATTATTATTGTAATTCCCTTTGTGTGTATCTTCTCATCCCCTTCATGTTAAAAGAAGTGTGATGGAATGGAATTATGAAGGCCAGGCTCAGGGAGATAAACATTTTCTTAGCTCCCCAGAAGAGTGTGGGAGGAACAAGAGGATGAGACTGGCACCTCCCTGAGGAATTCACACTGTTGTGGCTGGCTGACTTTGGGAGCTAGGGTTTGAGTGGGAAGATTGGTGTCAGGCCTAGCCCAAGGAACTCCAAGATACAATGCAAATTCAGTCCAGCTATGTTTATTAGCTACAATCTCTAGCAAGAATCTTCCCAGACTGAAACCCCAGATCCCAAAGACAGCCAGCCAA